TGTAAAAATTAAATGAGTTACTAAATGTAAAGCACTTAGCATACACAGCACATACTGCACATACTTACTCAAGAAGTGCTGCACAGAGCCGGGCATTGGTGGTGCACACCTTTAATCCCAGCACTCGGGAGGCAGAGGCAGGCGGATCTCTGTGAGTTCGAGGCCAGTCTGGTCTACAGAGTGAGTTCCAGGACAGCCTCCAAAACAATACAGAGAAATCCTGTCTCCAAAAACCAAAAAGAAAAAAGTGCTACACAGATATTAACTACCATCATTATCATTTTTCTTAAGTCCATAAACAAACTTGGAAAAATGTGTAGCTATGTGGAAGATACAATATTCTTAACAAACAAAGAATTCTTAGAACAAACAAGAAAGCTGGTTCAGCCCGCAGAATGGTTTTGTGCCATGCACAAAGCTTCAGGCTTGATCCCTAACACCACATAAACTAGGTGGAGAGTCACATGCCTGCAATCCCAGCATGAAGGAGATGGAGGTAGGTAGATCAGAAGTTCAATGTTTTCCTTGGCTATACAGTAAATTTGAGACCAGTCTGGGCTACAAGAGACTGTCAAAAGAGATTAGAAAAAAAGGAAGGAGAGGGATGGAGAGAGAAGAGAGGAGAGGAAAGGAAGAAATAAACAAAGTAAACATGCCAATGAAGCCGGGCGTTGGTGGTGCACACCTTTAATCCCAGCACTCGGGAGGCAGAGGCAGGCGGATCTCTGTGAGTTCGAGGCTGGGCTGGACCAACAGCCTCCAAAACAATACAGAGAAACCCTGTCTCGTAAAAACAAAAACAAAAACAAACAAACAAACAAACAAAAAACCCCCATGCCAATGAAATGGGAAAGAAGCAGAAAAGCAGAAACGAATGTTTTTCAAGATAAATGGAACAAGAACGATTTGATACTAACACTTAGAGGAAGAAAACTTGAAGCAGTTTCAATAAGTTAGTATATTTTCTAAAGGCAAAGCTTTCAAGGCTTTGGGGAAATAAGATGGTTTCATTTACACATTCACACTAGTGAATGTTCCTTGAGGCAATCTGGTAATTTGTGCACATGGGCATTAAGAAGTGTCCATACCTTTTTATATTTATCCTGGGGAAATGCTCATAATCATAAACACAAATTCAGCTACAAGGATGTGAACTACGGCAAGGTATAGATTACAATTACCTTAATGCTAGAGAAGCAATATGAAAGTCATTATAAGCAGAAGAACAAAGTCAGATTCAGATCCTAGGTCTGCCACTTACCAGTTATGTCACTTGGGGGAAATGGTTATACTTATACTTGCTCAAATTCCTCAATTATAAGGTTCTTATAAAGTGTCTAAAGACTAAATGAATTTAAACAAAGTATCCCCTAAATAACTAAGATATAACTACTGCTCTATAAATGTTAGACACTATTACTAATAGTCGGTAATAGGGACATATTATTCACCAACAAAAGTATATTGTGAATAAGTACATAATAAATAGAGCCATATTTTGATAAAAGTTATTAGTAAGCTACAAAGAAAAGTCACAGAGCAGGAACTGGGCCTGTAGTCCACTGGGAAAGCACTTGCCTAGCACGCTCAGCTTCAATCCCTATCACAGCAGGAAAACATACTAAATTGTAACAAAACTCATAACAACATACCACAGGTCCATTATCAGCAGAGACTACGGTCTAGGGGATCTACCAAAACATGAGCAGTGGCTAAGTCTGGAAAGTATCATGGTCTTTCCATTTCCCTATAGTGTTCCCATTTTCTACACAGAACATTTATTATTCATCATAATAAAAATAGTACACATAAAAAGTCAATAAAGTTTAAAATCAAACAATACAGTCTTTTAGGAAATGTCAAATTAAATACCCATTCTAAATTGTTTGGCAAACCTCTTCTTTAAGTGCACACCATGTGTAGAAGGTTTTTTCTGGTTTTAGTAACTAGAATATCAAGAGGTCTGCCAGGTACCAATCAAATAAATAACAATAATAAACCATCTTAAATATGGTATCCTGAAATACAAATAAACTTACTTACATGAAGGCTATTTATTTACTTGTAAATGTACACTACAGATTTTCTTTGGTCTGGAAATTAGTGATCATTTTGAAGGTATTAAATTTACTTCTCCCAATTATTACACACACACACACACACAGACACACACACACCATACACCTATTTTCTGCCTTAACTTTCTCCACAATACTTGGCGAATTCTAAATTCGAGACATGTTACTGTCTTTCCTCTCTTTTTCTGAATGTAAATGCCACTATGGCAGGACAAGGTTATATATTTTGTTCATTGGTTATATAATCATTACACTGGACATTTCTTGCAAGAAATCATGCATTATTTATGAAATGATGGAGTGAAAGAATGAATTCCATGTTATGAATTATGAGTAACTTCTGTTGTCTTTAACTTTCAGAGAGAGAAGACAGTAGCTGGGAATGAAGAAAGGAAAGCTGATACACAATATGGAGAAAGACAAAGATGAAGAACAGTTACACTGGTGAAGAGACTTAAGAGAGAGCTGAAAGCCAAGGTCCTGGAGAGTACTGTCAGAAAAGTCTTGCGGTTACCCGAATCCAATCCAATGTCTCTTTACATCTCAACCATGCAAGTTATTCAGTTCTTGGAACTCCAGAGTAGCCCCATAGGAACCAGGATGTTGGAAAGGGGAAGTAGTAACTCCAAGACATAATTACTGGAATGAATGAGGAGAGGGCAAGGAAAACTCCAGAACAGGTTGTCTCTGCAGCAAGACAAAAATCAGCTTATACACATTTCACTAAAAATTTAGCCGTGGAAAACCTAAACAGCTCTAGTGAGAAGGTTTCTCTTCTACCACTTGGGTTTTCAGCTCTTAATGAAAATGGGCTAGAGAAGCAATACTACTTTGCATTCCTATTTGACCCTCACCACTCTTGGCCAATATGATGGTTATTACTGAGGGTCTACAACTCCCTAGGAGATAAGTTTCTGGCCGTGGTGTGAAGGATTATCTAGACTAGGTTAAGGAGGTGGGAGCCCCCGCCCCGAATGTGGACTGCTACTCCATGGGCTGGGGTCCTGCCCAGCATACAAAGGAGAAAGCCAGCAGAGCACAGGCATTCATCACTCTCTCTCTCTCTCTCTCTGCTTCCTGACTGCAGATGCAGTGGCATCTGTCTCATTCTCCTGCTGTGATGGACTGCACCCTAAAAACCATGTATCCAAATAAACTTTTCCTTCCTCAAATTACTTCTTGTCATGACAACAAGAGAAGCAACTAACAGAAAATGTCACTAATCTTTGAAGGGATTACTTATAATCCCTAAAGATTATTTCACAGATTTCTAAAAAGCATGTCACCAAATGTTACATAAGTTATAAGATTTATTAACTCGACCTACCTGGTACTTATATTAAAGCAGTCACTTGACAAATGCCACCAAAGCATATTAGATGGAAGATGGAGAGAGGGGGACAGAGACTCCAAACAGCAGAAGAAAATAGCAAGGCAGAGCCTGCTCCTGTCCTAAAGACCAGTGTGAACCTCGCAGGTGCCTTAACTGACTGATCTCTCACTTGTCACTATTCTCTCTCAACACCAGCCTCTTCCTGGTCAAATCCACACTGCTGAGGAGACTTTAATCACCTGAAGTCAAAGACTCTGAACTGATGATACAGAGCAGAAGAAACTAAGGAACTAAAGGGGCAGAGTCTTAAGACTGAAATGAAGGTCAGATCTTGTAATCTATTTTCAGCCTTCTCATATGGTTCATTTTGATGTTGATTAGAAATTGAGTACCAAAAGAAACAGCTAATTTCTTTTGTAGTCATTAAGATAAATCAAAAACCAGAGAGAAACAGAGACACCGGGAAAAAGAAAGACTAATTAGCTTGAAATTTCTCATTGAAGTAAGTTGAAATGGTAAAAGGTGACATTTATTGGGTACTTATGTTAAACACGGTCACTAGGCACTTTATATTAGATATAAGACTATGATATGGGTACTATCATTATCCCTGTTTTATAGATGAAAAGACAGAAATTAAAGAATTAAAAAAAAACTTGCTTAAGGTCATACAAACTATTTGGAGCTGGAGCTGGGGTAGGAGGTCTAACTAAAGAGCCTCTACTTTTAGCCAATATAGTTATAAGTGTATGTGAAACTTTTATTAAGCCAGACTTTTTCTCAAATGAATATGCATTCACAGTGAAAAGGATTCAGAAAACATAAAGCAAATGGTTAAATACAGCAAGTTAAATGTCTACCATCTGGTAGTAGACCCCTAAGTGTCTGCTATAATCACAGCTGAATAGCTTTGTATGGCAAATAACAAAGTTATTCAGTGTCTTGGTATGACTGTGAAGTCAACATTTTAATAGAATCTCTCAAAACACTGCAAATGAAATATGTTACACTCTTAGAGTTATGAAAATATATTATTTTTCAGGCTATTCACTGTCCTATTTCTGCTCGGTTCCCTCCCTTCCACCCCCATTTCCTCTCTGCCTCACATCCTTTAAATTCAGTTCAGTTCCTCTTTCTCAAGAATACCTACATGCACACTTTACCCAAGAGAACTCTAGCATGTCTGTGTGCAGCAGCCGCAGGATAGTAGAAACTTACAAAAAAGAGCCGAGAAGCGGAAACACGCTCTAATGTATGTTTAGTTTTAGATCTATGCAACTGCAGAAGTAGTTGAAATATTCTTGTTTTCTTATTTCACAGTTGGAATCTTCTTTAACAACTGGCATACCCCAAAAGTCTTCCCTTGTTTAGCCTTTCTTTTACTTTCTTGCAAAATAGCTTTTCCTAAAATTTTCCATAAGTATGGCATTTGTTAAGATTAAAAAAGAAAAAGCCCCAACAGGTTGTTAGACAACAAATCTATCACATCTTAGCAAGATAATTATCATATCCTGAATAATATATAGAGCCCAATGTAAAAGTCTTACAAATGAACATGTAAAACTTCTGCGCTGGGTGTGAAGGTGCACATGGGACACCAGCAGTGCGCAGAATGCGGCAGGGTAAGTTCGAGGCCTGTCGTTATTTATAACGAGACTCTGGCTGTGTAGACCGGGGCTCCAGACGCAGCTCCATGGTGAAGCACTCTTCCGTTCTCCCAGGAAAGCCTGCAAACCCCAGTCCTGGCAGCCCCTTCCAGGAGCTGACAAACACAGCTCATCCTCTCCTAATGCCCACATACTTTTATTTTTTTAATCTGAACCTAGGTGTTATGGACAACAACACAGGTGCTGAAGTTAAAAGAATTCTAACCTGAAATGGGACACTCATACTTATTAACTCTGAGGACTAGAGCAGTTAAAACTCTAATTTAACATTTCACTTATCTATCTGATGGGAGGACATTAATTACTTGCAAGGCCTTCATACACTTTAAATAGTTATATAAACACTAAGCAGAGGCTCTAATACCAGTAAGTGTCCTATAAATGCCCACCAGGGGAGACACACTGTAATGCTAAAGGAAGTTTAGCTGATGGTGAACCTTTCGCATCCTTTTATTAAAATGATGGAACCCTGTGAAACTGTATTAAAGATCATTTAAAACTAAAAATCCTGAACTGCATGTACCCTGGCGGCAGGGAGCATGCTCAGAATGTATGGGACAGTCGGTTCAGTCCTAACACAGGTGCACACACACACACACCTTTTAAAAGTTCTAAGATTATATAGGAAATTGTCTATGTTGTAATAAGAAACACAATTTAACTACAGGATAAAATGACAAAGAAAATCTTGAAAGCTTCTAAGTTTAATGGGCACATACTATTCTATTTTTGTAAAAACACATTTGTTTTTTAGGCACAAATCTAATCTGGATTTCAGCATTGAGATGTGTTGAGCAATGGTAACTTTCTATTCAATAATTCAGCATCGGTCAAGTTTACACTAACCATTCGACCTTTCATTATAAAGGTGAACAAGGGGAGCTACTTAAATGCATCCAATGTTTAAAACACGCAGATTTTTCAACTGTACATCCATATTACATCAAACAGCAGTAACACACATTTTTTTCTGCATCCTTAAAAAAGAAAATGGAAATATTTTCACTTTGCTTGCTTACTTCCGAGGCAATCATAGGGACAGTCCCTAACCTAAAGGTAGCACATCAGTTTCTACTGTTTGATAACTGAATTTTGCTGGCCTCCCATCAATTCGTACAAAGGCTGTAGGCAATGTTTCTGGATTGTTTTTAGGTTTTACCAGCGATTGACAATATAGCAAACCTTCTGAGGGAACTTAGCAATTTATCAGAGGCTTAAGCAGCTTGGCCTCCAGTCTGTGCTACCTAAATTAAGCTAACGACACAAAATTTCAAGTGACAACTTGCCTCCCCCGAGTAAGCAGTGAACACTCATGAAACGGACAAAAGGGCATGTAGCGGAGCATTAATTCCTGTGCTAACTTCAATTCCTATTATGAAGTAGTTGGCTGTATCCAAAATGCTCCTATTCATTACGAGTCCAAGTTTCAAATGAACATATTGGCACCGGCAGCCGCTGAACAACACAGCCCAAGATCAATACATGCAAACAGCGTCTATCTGCAGAATGAAAGCCACCTGCCCTAGCAGCCTCAGTTTACCCAGCCACTATGCACTAGCAGGCGTCTTTTTCTCCCTTCCTTAAATAAGCAATGAACTTTACCACGGCTACGGAGGTTCCCTCTCGCTGTGCTTCCTAGACGCCCTGGGAGTGCATAATGCGGATCAGAAGTCAACGCCTCACATTTCCCAACTTTAGCTGTTAAAACGCGAGCCGTGGACGCCAGGCACCCGCCCACTGTCCTCTCGTGACTCGGGCTACTTTGACGCACCGGGATGCGGTTCACCTGACCCTCTGCACCAACGCCGATCAAGAAGAGGAAAACAGTAAATCAGGAAACTAAGCCAAAATAAAACGGGTCTCCAAGGCAACGCGCACCCAAGTGCCCCTGAGGGAAGCCGGGGACCGCGTCGCCCCCCAGCAATAGGCGGCGGCCGTTACCTGCCAAGCGAGGCCGTGGCGAGGGGCCCCGGTGCCCCGGCCTCCGAGAGGAGCGGCCCGCCGGCCCCGCGGCGGGGGCAGGAACCCGGGGCCCGAGGTTTCCGCCCGGTGCGGCCGAGCGCGGCCCTGGGCCTAGGGCGGGGGCCGCACGCGCTTCCGAGGACGAGCCCGGGCGCTCCGCGGCGCGCGGCCCCCTCGGCGCGGCCCGTGCGTGGAGCCCCGGGCCGGCGGCGCCCGCACCTGCCCCGCGCCCCGCGGCAGCGCTGACGGGAGGCTTCACCCACCTGGCGCCTCGCGCACGTCACCGCGCGAGCGACCCCGCGCGCTCCTCGGCCACCCGCGCACGGGCGCGGCCAGGCGCCGGGGGAGACCCTGCTGTGCGGCCGCCGCCGCCGCCGCCGGGTCAGTCGTCAGGTCGGCCGCAGCGAACCTGTTGCGCAGCCTGTCACGGCCGCTGGGCTCCGCCGGCGCCGCCTCAGCCCCACAACAACATGGCGGCCGCGGCCTCCGCAGGAAGCCGGGGGGCGGGGAGGCAAGCGACGGGCGGGCAGTGACGGCCCGCCCGCCCGCTCGCCCGGCAGCCCGGCCGCGGGGCACCGACTCCCCACCGTGGGGGAACGCGACACTGCGAGGCGTGCCTCCTTACCTCGGGAGCTGGGGAGCCCTGGACCGCGAGGGCGTGGGCCGAAGCGCTTCTCTTCCCGCGACGTCCCGAAGCCCCGGAGCTGACAGCCCTTCCAGGAGCCACTGGGACCCACCTGGCTCCTCCTCTTCGAGGTGACATGTGGAGGCTGGGTGGGACGTTTCCTGCCAAACCGGACCCCAAGGTTTTTGGAAAGGGCCGGGGGATGTCCAGGACATCTCTGGGGGACCACACCTGGAGCTTGCTCTCTCTCGCTCTGGAACCTTCTTATTCGCTGAAGGTCTCTTCGTTGATGTGGGAAACTAGAGGTGCGAAGGAGTTGCCTCCACCTTTGAGGCAGACCCTTCTCAGGGACTCCCCTAAAGGAATTAACCACACCTGAGAACACACACACACACACACACACACACACACACACACACACACACACACACACACGTCCAACAAGGAGCATCTTTGACCCTGTCCTCATGCAAGAGCACGCTCCTCACAAGAAGACTGCCCCAATTTCTTCCGGCAGAAGCTAGAGACATTCTTGCCCATATGATAGGAGAAACCCACATTCAGAATTTCTATCACCCCTTTGTATTATGTGGACCCCTCACAAAGACCAGACTTGTCACCATTCCATGTCTAGGGCTGGCCGTTTGACAAAGACAACACTCGCTCAACCAAAAGACTTTCTTTAGATTAGGGTGAAGAAGTGATGGGTCCTAATGAGCAAAATGGAAGTGTCTAAGACTCAGGATTTCATTTGAGGGGACTGTGCTGAGATACAAAACGCATAGCTTGAACTGTTACATGTCTGGAATCCCTGCACTCAAGAGGCTGAGTCGGAAGGATCATGAGTTTGAGGCCAGTCTAGGCTACATATAAACTGTATCAAAAATCCAACAAATAAATTTTGAAGCATTCATATCCCTGTGATTTCTGTTGACGTGTGAGAGATCTGTGCAGATAGATGCCCTCGGGCTTCATTTTTTACCTGTTGGGGCAGATGAAGGAATCAAGTCTGACCTGAATGAGATGACTACCATGCTTAGGCCTGACTGAACTGGACAGCCAACTCTTAGGAGGAATTTAGCAGACATTGGTGGTGCTAAACAGGCTTTTCTTGCTCTCGAAGTGTTTTTCTTAACTCTTCGATTAGGACTTCACCAAAACCTGGCAGACAGGTCCTGAGCTCTGATGACACAGAGACACCTGACTCTGTGGTATCAGTTTAGGAGGTCCCTCACTTCCTGGGGACCAGTTAATAAGGCTTCTCCCTCTATAAACAAGCTGCTTGGGTTAAGAAAAGCACCCTTAAGCACCTGTTACTGTTTCCAAACCTCCCTAGCCATGCCCACATCCAAAACAATACTGCAGAGAGCTGTCCTTCGAGGTAAAACTGATTTTATTTATTCCTAATGGGCAGATACTTAGTACACACCTCCCCCATCACTGATTAGTGTCACTTGTGTTTTGATGTTCTGGACCTGGTAATATTGACCTTCTCTTCTTTCTGTTGAAGAAGCTGCCAAATCCTTGAAGGGGAGGAGGACAGGAAAGGGGGGAACATTTAAAATTCCCCCTAAAAGAGAGCTGGGCGTTGGTGGTGCATGCCTTTAATCCCAGCACTTGGGAGGCAGAGGCAGGCAGATCTCTGTGAGTTCGAGGCCAGCCTCGTCTACAGAGCGAGTTCCAGAACAGCCTCCAAGACAATACAGAGAAACCCTGTCTCGAAAAACCAAAAAAAAAAAAAATTCCCCCTAGAAGAAACTACAAAGTTAACAGTCTCTGGGGTGAATTGAGGTCCTACATGCTTGCCTGCAGGTTTAAATTCAGAACTTTAGACCAATCTGTCTATCCTGTCACAACAGAGTGTGAGGACTTCCAGTAACCGTGCTTCTCTCATCCATGCATGTGTGACTCTGGAAAAAATCAATGCTGTCAAACATTTAGAGGTTAGGTACAAGTGATGAGGGAAGCAAATTGCTGAGGGGTTCTCAGATCCCTAGGCAGGCCTTGCTAGCAGCGGTTCTGTTCAGCAAGCTAAAGAATGGAACTTGGGAGGGAAACACAGAAGCCTTCCAAGAAATGTTCTTACTGCTTCTAGCTTTTTCTTTCTCCACTCATACAGAAAAACAGACGTCCTTTCCTTTTGAGGGTTGCAACACCAGCAACACCCTTCTTCACTCCTTGTGTCTTCTTTTGCCAAATTCCAGGACACTCAGTGTTCACCAAGAATGTCAGCACCTGAGGTACTCAGTCAGGCCGCGGGGTCCACCCAGAGCTCCCATCGCCCTTAGTCTTCAGGCACTCATGACTCAGGTAGGTGATGTATGCACCCTCCCAGATCACGGGCACGTCTCACACCTGTAAATTCCCTCAGAATCTCCCAAACCTGTCTTTTGCTCACCTCTAACTTGGACTGGAGACCAAATAGCAAGTCCTCCCTAAGTCAGAGGCATTCTTGTCACTTCTATAAAAGATGGCAATTACCATAGAGGGGAAAAGTTAAAGCAGGCAGGGAGAAGACTACGCCTATCACATTTGTTTATCCCCTTCTGCCAGAACCTCAGATAGGTTCTTAAGCCTGTATCCATGCTCCTGCCAGCCACATAGATCCTCTCAGTTTCCCCTTTTGTAGTTTTCAAAGGTTCCATTCTCCAGCCAAAATCCCACTCAGTCTATTCTCAAAACAAGTCTGTAATGCTGAGAACAGGCTAGAATAGGCAGGAGTACAAAGTCCTGATTTCAACCATCCATAAGATGAATGTTATCACATAGGAATCCCATGAGAAACTCGTCTTTTTTTTTCCTTTTTGGTTTTATGAGACAGAGTTTCTCTGTATTGTTTTGGAGGCTGTTGGTGCAGCCCTGGCCTCAAACTCACAGAGATCCGCCTGCCTCTGCCTCCCGAGTGCTGGGATTAAAGGTGTGCGCCACCACCGCCCGGCTGAGAAACTTGTCTTTTACATAAGACATTTACCACTAATAGACTGCCTATGGCAATGCTATAAACTTAGTCTTAAACAAATAATTTATAAAGAAAGTAAGAGGCTATGGCCAGCAGAAACCATCCTGATTTACCCAGACATTCGTTACTTTTGGTGTTCTTCATTCTTTCCTGAGGACCAGAGTTTCTGTTTAATTCCCTTTAAATAACTCCCTTGAGTGTTTAAAGCTAGAGTGCAGTTCTGTTGGCCACTAGTTCTCACATTTTATGTAAAAACTTACACGTTACTTGCTTTCACATTTGAATGTAAATTTACATTCAGTGGATGTAAAATACTGAGCTAGGACCAGAGAGATGGCTCAGTGGATAAAGGCCCCTGCTACCATGCCTGATGACTTGAGTTTGCTCCCTGGGCCCAACAGATAGAAGGGCGAAATCGACTTCCACAAGCCTTCCTCTAACTTCTACCCATGTGCTGTGACATGTGCATACCCACGTATAATAAGCACATGCAAAATAAAATACGAAAATTCTGGGTTTCATGTTTTACTTGTTTTCTTTCAATATTTAATGTTATTTTTCCATTCTCTTCTAGTTTCATAGTTTCTCTTGAGAAGTGAGCTGTTGGTCAGATATGTCTGTTACAATTATATGTCATTTTTCTTCACTGCTTTCAAGACAAGCATTGTGCCATTGCTTTCAGCAATTTGACTATGATGGACTTTTCTGTTTTTCATCTTCATGAATCTCATGTCTGCAAATACGTTTTTCATTGAAATTTTTAAAATACCATCCATCATTCCTTCAAAACCTTTTCTGCTCCACTCTCCTCCTTCTGACATATACATATCTGTTTGATGTCCCCTGGAGTTCCTGTTAGGTTTACCCCACAGTGTAGCAGTGTTCCACTGTGGAACACCAAAGCCCCGGCTCTACCCTCCCCTACATACAGGACGTGTGGAGCTGGAAGTACTGGGAAATGCTCTTTTTAAAGTTGTGCTTCCTTGACCTTGTTTAGTAAGAGCTTGTTTGTGTCTACTGTCAGCCAGGGCATCTATTCTAGTATCTTACTAGAAAAAAATGGAAAATCATAATTTCCCACTCCTATATTCTTATTTTCTTTCTCTGTTTTCTGAGAAATAGGTGAAAATTGAAGTTTTCCCTTTCTCCATTTCTTTTTCTTCTCAAAACTTAGAATGAACTACTGAAAACAGTGATTAATGCCTGGAGACCTAAAATCAAGTCAATTCAGGAAACCAATTTGAGGTTGCCCTAGTATTTTATCATTAGGATCATATACTGATGAAAAGTAGGTCAGCGTAGGGGTTCAAGGCCCAAGGAAAGGTCTAGGCCTTCATATGATATGTCTTTGTCAAAGTCGCTAATTGACTCGTTTTCTTTCACAATATTAAAATTATTCCATATTTTTAAATTTTAACTTTATTTTGTGTGTATTGGTGTGAAGGTATCAGATCTGGAGCTGGACAGTTGTAAGCTACCTTGGAGGTTCTGGGAATTGAACCTGTGTCCCCTGAAGAGCAGCCAGGGTTCTTAACCTCTGAGCCATCTCTCCATCCCCTCACAAAGTTAAAATTATTAAGAGCCTCACATGTTCTTAGTTCAGAATCATGGTCAGTAGGACAAACTGGTCCTAGGGTTTTCTTCTCTACTCGTCAACCTTACAAGCCCTTTTCCAGAGTGTGGTGCAGAGTAGAAACAGAAGGAAATAGAAGTGGCTTGGGGAAAGAGGTGGGAAGGGAACTCTAGCATGGGAGGGAGGGAAGGGTAGTACCACTTTCAGGCCACTGGTGTCCTATATAATTTGACACTCTGGCTTGAGGCTGGATGGCACTGGGAAGGCAGTGCCAGGCAAGCTGGGGAGGGAAGTCAGCCCAGACTAGATTCTGTGCCAGCACTGCAGGGTGGAGCCAAAGGCCTGCTTCCTAAGGCCTGAAAGCCCTGAACAGGATGTGCTCATTCATAACTGAAGTACCAGGGCCTTCCAGTCTGGCAGGTGTAGCTCAGCGAATGGGAATCCAGTCTGCATTCAAGAGTGCTTCCTGTCTGGCATGTATCCCCAGCTGTCTGCTTATGTCATTGTTGCTGTCTGCAGACAAACCAGATACAGTTCACCTCTTGTAATAATCTAGCTAATAACACAGTCTTTTGCAGTAGACAGAGAAGTTTTTTTTTACCTTTTTATTTTTTTACATTTTTGTGGTGCTGAAAATGGAACCCAGGGTCTTATATATATCAAACATGTGTTGTGTCACATGTTTTATACTCTTAGCTCCTAATTCAAAAAATTTTCTTAGTTCTTGCAACAAACTTAAAAATTGAATTTCTGTTTGCCTTGATTGACATGAAAAGAGGAGAAGTTAAAAAAATCAGGGTTCACCTTCTGCTTGGGGATTTTCTCATGTCTAGTTTTGATTCTCTTTTGTTCCTTTACCAGGGAAAGGCATAAGCCTTGCTCTTGCAGAAGAGCAGCAAGTTTGCTCTAAAGCACACAGGGGATCAAGTCCTTTGGCACTGCTTAACCCAGAGTGGCCAATGTTTGTTTGCGGTGTTAGCATTTTTTTTCTCAAAATAAGACAGTGTCTTAAAATGAATCTTAAGGAAGATAATTGCTGTAGCATACCTGGGAAGTTGAAGCAGAAGGCTCACAAGGAGGAGAGGAAGTGAGGGAGCGGTGGTGGGCAGGCACAGAGTAGCCCTGACACTAATGCCATAGCAGGGGAAACCACAGGCAAATGTGAGGGTGCATTTTGATAGTTTGAAAAATGATATGTCTTTAGACTTGTCCTGTCTTGACTTCACTTATGCAAACAAAATCCAGGCTATGAAATCACAGCCTGAAGTAAAATCAGCGCTGAGAATTTGGTCAACATCCTCACCTCATCTGGGAGGAGCGGCTGGCTCAGGAGTTTTCTGCGTGGGACTCTGGTGGTGACTATGATGTGGGTGTTGGGTGGTGTGTCCAATTCACATTTCTTCCTTTTGTGTTGAATATATCCACTTGATAGGTCTTTTCTAGTCCTTAAAGTTTAGAGCTGCCTAATTCAGTAGACCAACAAAGGAAAAATGGAAGCAGAAGTGGGCTACTTGCAAAATGATTACCCTCAGAAGCCATTCCTCAGTGGGTGAGCTTTTGTTATTCACATGAATGGGAAGCATGAATGTCAAAGAAGCTCCATCATTTGGACAATCCATTCATCTATAAATACTGTAATCATAGTCTGATACAATTTTGTTTTTAGCTCTTTTTCTTTTTTTAGTTTTAGGAGAATATGTTTCATACTTATTTTCAATAAAGGCATTTCTGCTTTTCTTTTTTTTTTCCTTAAAACACATTACTGAATCGTTTTCTTCTATAGTGTATTTTCAGTATTCTTACAGAATTGTATACTATCTTACTGTCTATTGAATGGAATACCATAATTCACTTCTTAATCTCTTATTAGCAGCTGATTCTAACTTTTCATTATAAATAATAAGCACTTCATTTCTAAATATGCAGCTTATAAACATTCCACAGTATAACTATAACATGTCCCTTATTGTAGAGGCTTGGGCCCTAGTTCATGGGGCTTCTGCAAGGTGGAGCTGGACATAGTGGCCACCCATGTAATCCCAGTACTTTGGGAGGAATTACCACGGAGGCAGGAGAATTAGGAGTTCATTGGTTTTCAGGATTACGTGATGAGTTTGAGGCTAGTTGAAGCTAGCTATTATCTCTCTCTCAAAAAAAAAGAAAATAAATAAAAATCAGCCTAAAATGAAGTGGAAAGATGTTAGGTCAATGGGGGCATGCCCTCAGAGGGGATTTTGGGATCCCAATCTTATCCTGTCTTCCTTTGGTTCCCAGTCACCACCAGGTGAGCAGATCCCCCTTGTCACATGGTATTCTGGTGTTGCCACTAGGCCCTGGAACCTACACAACTATGAGCCAAAATAAACCTTTCCGTATGTGAAAAGCTGTCCTACTAAAACCCTTTACTTTATATATTACCTTAAAATTTAAGAATCAATGAATAAAGCCTGCCTCTTAAAGCTGGTTATTTCTGCTACCACAGAGATGGAAAGCTAATTACCATCTTTTGGTGCCCATTCTTAGAATTAATTTTCAAAACCATAATCATGGGATGAAAATAGTTATTGTTTCTATAAAGATATATTAATCTACCATAGCAATATTGGAAGATACCACTTCCACTGTGCCATCCTCAATATTTCATCTGCATTTAAACTTTTTCCTATTTGAAATTATTTTAAAATTCCACTGATGATAAGCCTTTAGTAATAAGTTTGTTCAATGAGCCATTCAAATACTCTGTAGGCATTTTGTATGGATCAAATGGGACAGGTATTC